GTCTTATCGATCTGGCTTCGACCGCCTCACCCATCACCGACCTTCGTCAACCTGACATTGACCTCGGCGTCAGCATGCTTGAGCTCAACCTCAATTTGACATTGGCCTCGATGTCAACGGGCATTCAACTCTGTAGGGTATCATTCTGATATGATGCTCCCGTTTGCCTCGGTGGGCGCCGCCTTAGCCTTGCGACTCTCCCAGCCGCCTCTAACATCGACCAACGAGCCGCAGGTCTGCCCCAATAGCGCTCGCTGCCGACAGTCGCTTTGTCAATTGTCAGAGGGTGATTATTGGTCTAGAGACGTTCACCTTTCTCAGCCGGTGCAGCTGCCGGCAAGTCAGGACAACGGGGTCAATGTCGGCTGGCTTCGTGTGGAGCTGCTGCACTGATCTCTGGGCCATTCCCGTCTCGACATCTGCCGGATCCCAATCTGCCACGGATGCCCTTCTGCCCTTCCCCGGTCGCCCCTTGCTTTTCCCGACCAACCGTAGCACTGCCGCCCCAGAGGCAATTTACTGGCCGAGACGTTAATTGGCTCCTGCCGACCGTTCATAGAGATTAGGAGAGCAGAGATCAGATCTCAAGGGGATCCACTTCAGTAACGAGCGCTGAAGTGAAGCGGCGATTTAGAAGTGGTAATGTATGTGTCGTAGACCGTGATCTATCCAGCTACCGTGCGATGTACCGGCGCGTCAGTGAGCCAGGCTACCGGAAGCCAGTCAGGGTGGCAAACGGCCGGCATACCTATAGCCTACTTGGCTTGGAATCATTAAAAGCCGCTACGCCTCACTCTCGCTACTTAAAACAAGACATCACTATTCACTGGTCTTTAATCAAGTGTTATACCTTGCCACATTTTTCCACGAAACTGTCAACCATGGAACCTGTCAGAATACCCCTACCGCAATGGCTGCGTGATCTAATCCTCTTCCACCGCCTCATATCATTAGAGGGCTGCCCGCTCCCCTTCCCGTCCGGGGCGTCAGACCTAGCACCCGTGCCTGCGGGGCCGGTTACTCTCACAGACCCCCCCCCCCCCCTGCACGAGGGGGAGGTGACGTCACCATTGGTCGTCGACCCCGTCGCCGGCGTCGCTGCTGGATCCCCCGTCGGCGGCGGCGGGGCGACGCCCGCGCCTTTGTGAACCGTATGGTGGTCTCCGACTGGATGGAGCTTGGGATGTTGGTGGCTGCGTAACGACTACGGGAGCACGATGGGCATTATTGGTCTTGCAGCAGATTTGTTCAGTCGTGTAATTTGCAGAGTCCTTCATTGCGACTCTATGTGCCCGTCTTTGAGGTTATAATCGAGCTTATTTTGACGCATGTCGTATTGGCAACCTAGTAGAATTTCTGATCGCTGCCTTCCTGCGACCTACCCACCGTTTGAACTATTGATTATTGAACCAGTCAATGTCCTTCTGCCGTTCATTCGACACGGACTGATTCAACCAATGACAGCCCGCCGATCCATCTTTTGAGTGGAGGACGCAGAACCTTTTCCATCAAGGCCCGGAAACCGTGATGGAACCTCCGATAACCCGTCTCGGGCCGAACGCTGATGGAGGTGCTGATTGTCCCCTCGGCTGGGACCGGGCGAACGGCGGCAAACTGACGAGCTGAGGAGGGCGGGTGATTCAGATTTCAGTGGCCCCCGGCTGCTGGTCGCCTTATCGGCAGGAGGCATGATTAGAGACGCCAGCGTCAACACAACCGTATCAGTAGATATATGAACTCAAATTCCAACCAGCTCTTAATGTTTTGTTAAGTGATGGAAGATAGAAATAATGGGAAAAATTACAGGTGCTAAGCAAAGCAATATCTTGTTCAGTGTTCACTCTCCAGTGTAGTGTCTGCGTCCTGAAAGTTGAATTCGTGGTAATTACAAAGGATAATTTGCGACGTCGTTTGGAGAAATATTTGCTGATGAATTCTTGGAACAAAACTAACTATATGGTATAGCTTCGGTTGATCTTCCTTTTCGTGGAGCGCTCGGATGGGTTCTGTGTCTTGGAAGCGCTCTTCACCGAGGGGTCTGAGCTCTGACAAGCATGTCAAATAGCGAAGCTACCTCAACATGCTACAAACGAACGATGTCAGCCGACATTGAAAGCTGCTTGACGAGTGGATGGATTGGCGCATAATATAGCGTGACGTCACGAAACCAACAACCACTTCTGATCAACCATCCGTCTCGTGCATCACTTCGTTAGGCCCCCTTCGAAGTTTGTAAACCCACCTTCAGACTTGTCACATATACTCTGCTTGTCACAACCCATTGCCGAGTCGTCACCCATTCCCCACTCTCGGCATTGATTTTGTCTGGGTTCTGCCATCCACAATCAACTCCAATTGAGGGAGCGAACTTGGTAGTGGATCGCTATGCACGTCTGGCGCTCCGTCAGCACTATGGAGCTCTGAGGAGCTCAGTATGAACTTTTGCGCTGCAGCGGCACTCTGATCCTGAGAAATAGTCCGGTGAGTGTGCTGCGGATTTTTATTTCAAGAGCGGATTGTCGGCTTGGGACTTTCGGAGAGCTGCAGAGGTCAGCGCCGGTCGATTCTGGCGTCTGTGAGCTGATATCGATGATGTCATAACTGTCTGGAAAAATCTATCAACACTCTTGTGTCACACAATATACCGTGTCTGTGATAAAACTTTGTTGCCCATGTTCCAATAATATATTTTAAATTGACAATTTATTTTACGTTTATCAGCGACTTCCTTAAGTCAAAATAATCGGTAGCCGACGGCCTTACTCACTGGACATAACATTGTGACGGAGAGCTCGGCCCATCTCTGCCTCTTCCCCTCTGCACCGTCTCTTTCCTCCCATACTCTGTCCGCTTAGAGGAGGGCTGGCGAGGCTGCCGTCTGGTGGACCCCAATTCCTCTCCGGTGGGTGGTAACTGCTGACGCGAAAAGCGTTTCGTTCCGCCCTGGTCAAATTGACCAGCTTTGGACGCTAACGCATTGGGTTTCGCCGCATTAGAGGAAAAAGCCAGCCGTTTTGAGCGGGTCGGTTGCGAACAGCGGAGGAAGAATGGGCTGAGATTGAAACTGATTTTGCTGATACCCCTATAGTGCGTTCTGCTCGGTCGAGTTTGATGTTTGGACAAAAGGTCTGCGTTGCTCTGCGGTTCATATGGGTCGGCTGATCTGTCAGACCTGACATTCACCTTTCCCTCCCGCTCAACGCGTTCTGGTTTGTGTGGGCTAAACTGAACCAATGTGCATAATGCATATGAAATGACGCGTTTCAAATTTAGCCTGTGGATGGTGATGCGGTGAGTCATTTGACATGCCTTTTGTGGATCTACCTATCTATATCTGCAGCGTATCTCAGCACAAACAGCCCTCACAGCACCTCATCGCCTGATATTGATATACGGTTGGGCATACTATGGACTTATTGGGCTGAATTACGTCGGATGAAGTGTGGTTTAGAATCTTGACTGCTTGAAGTCATGAGCTTAGGCGAAATGCTGCTGTAGGTTGTAAACCTTCTCTTGGATTTGAGTTATTATGTTGAAGCAGAGCAAAAGTAGTCCATACTTTCTTTACACGTCGACCCGACAGAAGGCTTTGAAAACTGGCAATCTCTCTACGACCCTCGGGTTATGAATGTTTCCCAACGTGTTGCAATATTCACCGTCTAAATCTTTAACGCTATGGCTAGGCCCAGAACTGATTCGTTTTCCACATGCCTTTCTCTCCAATCCGTTTCGTTTCCTTTCCCCCGTCTCTCTCTCTCTCTCTCTCTCTCTCTCTCTCTCTCTCTCTCTCTCTCTCTCTCTCTCTCTCTCTCTCTCTCTCTCTCTCTCTCTCTCTCTCTCTCTCTCTCTCTCTCTCTCTCTCTCTCTCTCTCTCTCTCTCTCTCTCTCTCTCTCTCTCTCTCTCTCTCTCTCTCTCTCTCTCTCCCTCTCTCCCACGTCCCCACTCTACTCTACTCTCCTCCGACCATTCACCCGAACATTCCCTTCAGTTGAGCGGTTCGTGCCGCGTGCTCCTCCCATCCCGAGTCGTGATGCGCCGCACACCTACTGAGACTGAGCTGCCACCCATCCAGCCTGAGCTGCAGAGACTCGGACGGCGCTCTAACACAGTTCGTGCTCCGGGTGACCCCGCCCGCCCCATGAGCCGGTCGTCACTGTCTAATACCCGTCACGACGTGGCTGAGCCGCTGGGGAGTGATTGGGGCGTGCGGGGTAGATGCTGGAAGTCTTATGCCGCTCGGGTGTATCCAGTTGGTTCGCTTCAATCAGTCCTTTTCGTGAATTCAAACCTGACTTTTTTCGAGGATGGCGGAAATAGTATGCGGCGGCTGACAAGAGGCGAAAGCTTAATACGTTAAAAAGGTTCCATCATTCCACCAAAAAGTGGCCGGCCCGCGGACCAACAACCATAGACCTGTTCGCAGACTGCTTTTCTCTCCCACTCTCCACTGCTTTTCCATTTCCCTACTGTGCGGTTTTGGGAGCATGTGACGGTCCTTTTGTCTGAAGATTAGAACGGTAGTTAGTTCCGTCATGACGGCTGGCGGCGTACGACAAAACCATTAAACGACTAAGGTGATTTGGTCTAGCTCTACGGCGTGCGTTGATTGGAATCTTGATGACCATTTTCAGACTTTTCAAAATGATCCTCATCATAATAAGCTTCCGATTTCTCAGGTTCACGGGTGAATTATCTTCTTTAATGTCTAAGACATTAATACAACTAAGCTGGTGAAGTTTAATAGCTTTGTGAGATAGCTAGTTTAACCGTATATCTTATATGTCAACGTAGTTTAACGGCAGCACATTCTTCTTAACGCGTGATATCGACTTCATTAACTACAGCAAAACTTGCGAAAAGAGTTACCTCCAACTTCCCAACACCTACCGTACCGAATTAAATCGTGTGAACTGTGAACGTCAAGTCGTGCGTGCAATAACCATGTGTTCTCTCACCGCCGTGTCACGATGCAGACAATTTCCTTAACGCAGCTTCACAGACCTATACGGGAACGATTCTGGTAGCCGTCAACCCGTACCGGGAGCTGAGCATCTACGGACAGGTAAGTTACCATCCGCGTGGAGCCCGGTTCCGGGCATGACTGGGCTGTGACGTGGCGGAGGGAGGGAGGAGAGGGGGAGGGGCGACCAAGGACGTCTGTCGAGGTCATGGTTCCTCGGTGTTGGGGCAAAACGACCGCAGAGTGATCAGATGCGTGAGTTAGTGCCTGAACCCAGCCGAGACCGGTACAAGTATGTCGGAATGGGCGTGCAAAGGTGTGGACTAAATGCTTCGAAACACGAGGAGAATGCAGTTGGGTGCATGACGCGCCTGTTAGTGAGTCATTTAGCCGAACCTTTCAGTCATGTGAACCGGCTTATCCTGTGTTGGTGAGAATTAAAGCTGAGCGCGCTTGTCTAAGAAATAATGTCATGCCTTTTTAATAAATCGCGATAATTTTTTCTGGTGTACTGGCAAAGGCAGAGCTGTCGTATTCTTCGCGACTTCTTCGAGCGACTTCCTAAAAAGTGTACGAGTACATCTGTTTTGTTCTGACTGGCTGCTCTGTGCCCCGACAGGACACCCTGTTCTCGTACCGGGGGCAGAAGATGGGCTCCAAGGAGCCGCACATTTTCGCTCTGGCCGAGGCGGCGTACACAGCGCTGACTCGGGGAGAGGGAAACCAGGTGAGTTCCCCTGGGAAATGGGGCGGTTCTTGGAAGGGGCGGGGTAAGGTCAGGAGCCGTAGCAGTCCGTATGTGAATTGGAGAGCTGGGCTAGCTCAAGAGATGGTAGGGGAAGCGTCATACGAGGGGAAAGGCATGAGGCCATGGAAGCAATAACTCAAGGGAGGGGTATGATACTGGGGATGCGACAGCTCATGGGGGTAATTATAATTTCGTGGTGTCTTAACTTCATTCATGTTCAGTGGTGTCTAACTCCGTTTTACGTAAAGATGTGTTCATGTAATCACAACAGCCGCCCATGTAGTGTAGCTTGACCGTTTGCGATGACCTCGCTCTGACCGCTGCTCGTCCCCCCTCGTCCCCAGTCGTGTGTGATATCGGGTGAGAGTGGCGCGGGGAAAACGGAGACGACCAAGTTCATCCTGCAGTACCTGTGCTCGGTCACCTCTGGAGTCAGCACCTGGGTCGAGCAGCAGATCCTCGAGGCCAACACCATACTAGAGGCATTTGGTAAGTACGGATCTGTGTATCTCGAGAGGCAATACGGAGCTCCCTCGGTCGGAGCCAGTAATCAGTATGTAGTTCAGGTACGATTGAGACTTAAAAGTGTGTTGGAAGTTGGTACAGTGTGCGGGCAAAACTGTTTCACAAAAGCTGTTTAACTCTTGGTTTGTGTGCTGTGCGAGGCATCAAGGAAAAAATGTCTTCTACTGTTGCCGAACCTTACAAGGAAGATTCTTGTAAGATAGTGTGCAGTGTTTTATTCGGCCGTCTTCGCTATTCTGGAAACAGTCAGCGAAGTGACGACCGACTTTGACGGGCCAACTTTTCACCTTTCGTCTGTCCGGGCTCCGACGAGAGACGTACACATTGCAGAACTACTTTGCATACAGTGTTCTCCGGCAGTCTGGGGCATCGAACTGGGAATCGACTTAGCAAACTTGTCCCTGCGCTCACCCCCGGCGTATCGGAGCCTGCGTCTTGTGCGGCGAAGAGAGACGTGCAGGAATTGTCAATCAACCCCTTACGTCGGGCACTCCACGTCGTGCTGGGTCACATGTGCACACAATGTGCAGAGCCGCTACGGGCGCCGTGCACCGGGTTTGTGCACGTGGTGCACTATGCACTGTAATGTCACTCGGTGGTGGCGGTCGCTATGGGGGAGGATCAATGAACGCGACATGAAAGGCCGTTCTGTGAACTGGAGGTGACTGCTGACAGCTAGTTGAGTTGGGGTGTCAACTGCTATGCAGTCTGCTGACTTAGTGGGATTCCTAGTATGTTGGTCTAATGTTACATAATACACCAAGCTCACTGTGCAAGGGCCTCGTAGCCGCATCAATGAATGATTCAGGGAAGTCTAACTTTCTGAGTTACCGATAGGGACTCTCCGACCCCACCTGTGAATATCTTGGGGAGCATCTGCCCCTCAACGTTGCACGTCTGTCCCATTAGATCGTCTTCACTCAATGCAACTTCACGTTTGCCAATCACAGAGGCGAACGGGGGAGAAACAGAGGGCCTTTGTAAATGTCATCGCTCGCAGTTTTATCGATGTCTGGTGCCTGAACGGCGTGTAATGATCGTGTGACATTTTACACGCACTGGCATGACATCTGACATGATTCACATATGACATCCAAGCAGTGAGATGACGCACCAAATTACCCAGCAAATCGCGCACAGACGGCGATAGCTATTGGATAGATGACAGTTTCATAGCCGGGCAGTTTTCTGGCAGCCAGCTCCGTGTCAAAGGTCAGAGGCCGCCGGAATCGATTGACCCCGCCCGCGACCTTCTGACCTGTTGAGCCTCCCTGGCGTCCTCATGTGGCCAAATTGTCGTCAGCTCTGCCCGGGCAGGTCTGCCGGCAGAGACGGTGTTCCGTATTGGCGGAGGCTGATTGGGACATTCGGCAGTCTGTAGAACAATAAAACATTCACACGGCCGTCCAACTTGGAAGGCAGTGACGACCGGTGGGTCCCAGAGGGATGGAGAATCGTCAGAAGTTGGCGAGGCTCGAGACTGTGTTGTGACAGCGAAACAAGTCACTGTGTCAGCGCTTTATTCTTTCATATCCCAAAGCAGGCTGTTTGCGAACACTTACAATCTAAGCGTTTTAAATTAAAGCAATTTTTTGTTGAGTAGCTTCACGCACCTTTGGCTTTTGAACAAATATTGAATAGGATGTCTTGGACACCTCCAAGAACAAAGGAAATCTGTCAATTGCAGACGTTATCACTCAAGCGTGGAATCAGTCTGACAATGTCTGTGATAAGATTGCACTGAAGCTAGATTAATTTGAGGTGGTCGTTGTTTGAAACATTAATTTAATTAATGTACATATTCCTCTTTGCTAACTACTAGCCTTCTCAGAGAGTGATAAAGGAGCATGTCAGTCTAGTGGGAAGGACATGATTGTCCTCCCCCGCGCGACCCAGGGCGCTACTCTGGCAGGCAATACATGAGGCACCCTAGAGACCGACCGACCCACCACACCACACAACATTACGGTGCCTCGGCTGCGTTTTAGCTGATTACTGGGCCGGCGAGCGGTTCGGGCGGGCGGAACGACGCTCGTCGATGGGACAGAGTTTGGGAGCGGTTTGTGTCGCTCAATCGGTATCGACAGCTGGCGTTGGCTGCTGCTGCTGGAACTCGGGCGGGCACTCTGAGAACTAACTCAGCAGTGGAGCGACTCCCGCATTCGGACAGGCATCAGCCTCTGTACTTACTCATACGCCGACCAGTCTTACCTTGATACACGGGTCCTCTCAAGAGTGTGCCATTCTTGCTAGGGCATCTCCGTGCCCTATCTTCACCACCAGATCTCCCGGCTCCCAACTCTCAGCTCTCATCTCCCAGCTCTTTTACTAGCTGCTCTCTGAAGGAGGACACCAAAAGACGGCCATAAATTGTCAGCCCGAGCGACACTGACTGATCAAATCACCACGCCACGGCGCTCGTGTGTTTTCCTGGCCGAATTTACTGAGGAAGAAGTTGAACTTCGCCTTCAGACTGTTGATGTGTGGTGCGTGCATCTACGCCAGTCGCACAAAAATCATTGACAAAAGGCCGAATCAGAAGCAGTTCGTCTGATTGAGTCGGCCTGTGGCAGCAATATTATGACAAATTATCCAGCCAAAATCACAAAAAGTTCACTAATAAACGCATGTATACCTACAATATGTGGTGTGACAGTACCTAACCGTGCTATTTCAGGACGGTTTTTAACGACACTCGGTAGATCCGTCACGGTATCTGACGCACTGGAATGAGAAACGTATCTGGTGCATTAAGCCATCGATTCTAGGTTCGACAGCAAGGAATCATTTAGGCTAAACCGAGCTCCTGATGCTAAACCGAGCCGGTTTAGCCTGATGCTAAACCAACTGAGCCGGTCCCGTAGCTCAGTTGGTTAGAGCGTTGGACTCCGCGTGGTGAGAGCACGCGTTCCCGGTTATGACAGTCCGGGTTCGAAGCGCGACGGGCGCTCGACATTTATGGGCCTCCTGACAGGTATGGTTGCGGTTGGTGGCAGGCCGTAGCCAGGCGAAGTCAGCGAGGGGACCGGCCGTGCGCGGCTTTGTGCGCACGTTAAACTTTGGACTCTAAATTCTGCCATAGCACCGGAATTGCGCGATCGGAGGGTAGAGGGCAGGGTCATCGCAACAAGCTTCGCTTAGCGGTGGCTCTGTCCTTGTGAATCCTTCCCATCAAAAGGTTCGGGCTAAATTTATAAAAAAAAAAAAAAAAAAAAAAACCGAGCTTCCGAGGCTAAATCCCAGAGTTTTCTTGGTCAGTGTCTGAATCCTATCGATTAATCACAGTAAATCACCCGCACTGATCCCCATTCGGGTCGGCCGGGGGACCTTCTGTGAGTGATCAGGTTGTCGCCCAAACCCGGGTCATTTGTGCCGGTCATTCCGACCTGAACCCATCCGACGTCTGTGAAATCCGGCGGAGGGACCTGAGGTCGGACGAAGGGGGACACACATCGATTCTCCGACAGGCTCACTCTGATGACGTCATAGTGACGTCACGCCGGGCTGTAACGGGCACTGTGTCGGCGGCTGGTGCGGTCCTAGTCCCACGGGATGTCTCTGACGCCGGCTCGACTCGCTGATGAGATACCGCGGTGTGGCTGTTAGCGTAGAAGAGATGGCCGCCACCCGCTCTGCGCTGGTGGAGATCGTCTCGATGGAATTTCTGTGGGCACAACAGGACGATCTGGGGCCGATGTCGCCGCGCTGTTACAAACTGCAACCGATTTCCGCTGTAGGGTAATTTATGGAGTTTTTTCTTGCCTACGGCTATGATTAGAAGCACAACATAGGTGTAGGCACTAGGCAATCTGTCCCTGGCTGGCTATTACTTATTGAGTCAGTGTTAATGTGACAGAATTGCTGGAAACATGAGCGCCGAGCAGTCAAGAAGAGCGGCATAAGGGCTGTTGTGGGAACATGCCGGAAGGGTGCAGTTGCGATGGCTGTGTTGGGAATTGGGAATGTTTTGATCGTGTTTGGCTCGACTGAGCTTACGATATCGGTGATCTATAGTCTTGTTTGGATCGTGTTCCAGCTTGCTTTGCGATGGTGACTTCGTTACCATTTAGGACAAGGTTGTTGCTGCATTGAGATGGTGTCTTAATCTTTAAAGACGGCGACTTTGACCTTCTATTGCCCATCCCATCTGCCGTGGTGTGCGTGGTATCACTCGCGTGGCCCGGAGTCTTTTAGGCTCACCCCAGAGTGCCATCCTATGTCGTGTGCTCCGACCCTGGGCGGGGCGGGCGTGGTGTGAGGAACGAGCCGTCAGTCGCTCTGACGACCCAGTTGGTCACCCGGTCGGTAGAGACGCCGTCAGGGTTCCACCCAGGGCGTGGTCCGCCCCGTGCCGTGTCAGGGGATGCTAGAGATGTGTTGCCGAGATAATGGCATTGTGTGGGCGGGCGCAATATAAACAACTCCCAGAGTGCAGGCTGTTTTTGTGACTGTTTTGTCTTTCAAACAGTTTCTTTAGAACGAGATGTGTGTTGTTCCGGAAGTGTGAGCGACCAACAGTTTTTTCTTCTTCTTTTTATTCATTCAGACGTGCTAGCATCAACTCTTTTTGCAAGTAATGCCTAGACTTACCACACTGACCTTGGCCGTTTTCGCAAGTAACGCCAAGGTCGCGACTTATTATTACTTTGTCTCTTTCTGCAAGTAACGCCAAGGTCTGACACTAATTTGTCTTTGTCTGCAGGTAACGCCAAGACGGTGCGGAACGACAACTCGTCTCGGTTCGGCCGGTTCATGCAGGTGTGCTTCGACCCGCGGTGGCACATCAAGGGCTGTATCATGCAGGACTACCTGCTGGAGCAGTCGCGCATCACGTTCCAGGGGCCCGACGAGCGGAACTACCACGTGTTCTATCAGCTGGTCGCCGCTGCACAGGTCAGGACTATGACTGCAGTTCAGCGCTGACATTGGCTAAGGGCCTGAGTAGGTGTAACGTTTCAGTTTTAGCTGTAGGTTGAGCGTTTAGCCGCACAGTTGAAGCCTCATCAGTGGCAAGGATGAGTGTTTCAATAACGTTTGGCACAAAGGAAGCATTGCCCATGTTTCGTAACAAGATTATTGGCCTGGCTATCTTCGTATCAATCTTCCCTTTATAGCTGTGTTTTGATCGTTTCAACAGGACCATTTCTGCCAGGGTTTTGTTTGCACCACGAAAACCAGTGTCGCTCCTACAGGCCCGCCCTCCTTCCCCCTCCGTCTATACTGTTGTCACAAATCGTCTCGGCAGCATATTGGCACGGCCGGTGCGTTTTGCCGGTCCGCACCGCTCGTTGGTATTCATTATCGGTTGTTCTGTCGGCGTTCGACACAGGCCGCCCGTCGGCTCCCCAGCAATCATCGACGGCCGTAAATAACGCCGTTCGGATACGCTCCAAAGGCGGCCAATTGGCTTTTGTTCGAACCCTTCCCTGGCTGGCTCCCGCTGCTTCCCTCACAGTCAAGCCTTCAGCTACCCCGGCCGGAACTGTTCTCCAAGTACAGCGTATTGCTAGTCAAAACACACTGCCAACCGTCTTTAAAGTTTATCTATCTCATTCTGCATTAGCATCTTTTGTGCCCGTCACCGCGTCTCTCTCTCTCTCTCTCTCTCTCTCTCTCTCTCTCTCTCTCTCTCTCTCTCTCTCTCTCTCTCTCTCTCTCTCTCTCTCTCTCTCTCTCTCTCTCTCTCTCTCTCTCTCTCTCTCTCTCTCTCTCTCTCTCTCTCTCTCTCTCTCTCTCTCTCCCGTGTCATTCCTCGACATCGCTTCACTGACCGCCATCTCTCCACCCCACCCCCCCAGCGAGACTCGGAGCTGGTATCTCTCTCATATACCCTCTCACTGACCGCCCTCCCTCCACCCCCAGCGCGACTCGGAGCTAGCCTCCCAGTTCCAGCTGCGGGAGGCCGCCCACTACAGCTACCTGAACCAGTCGGGCTGTGTTCGACTGGACGGTGTGAACGACGCTGAGCGGTTCGATGCGCTGCGGCTGGCGTTCAGCGTGCTGCAGATCCCTCAGGAGGTGTGCGATGGCCTCTACTCGACCATCTCGGCCATCCTGTGGCTGGGAAACATCGGGTTCCAGGTGAGATTTGGCCATCCTATAACCTATTGCTGGGCAACATCGGGTTCCAGGTGAGACGGAAGGGGGACGAGTGTGACTGGGAAACAGTCCAGAGGGCTAGGAGCGAACTTCATCAGAACTTCCGACTTTCCGCGTGGATGGCAGGGAATGAGGGCAAGGCAAGAGAAGGATGAAGCGGGAGTGAGGGAAGATGAAACCTGTAAACCTGCGAGAGAGATTTTTATAGGCTATGTTACTACTGAATGTGAATTGTGAACAGTAGCTAGTCGGTAGCCCTTTTTTATTATTCAGTTGTATTTTGCATCCCTGCTATTATTTCCACTCCTATCTTTTTCTGGATACCATTTGTATGGTTCACTCCTTTGCTATGCCCTGCTGCGAACACACAAAACGATCACCACTTCACCACCCATGTGACTGACGGGCTGATTGTTTCCCTACGGTCACACAGTGACCCCCGAGTCACACGCACACTCCCCGCCCCTGCCGTGTTGATCGAACCAACAGGTGGGCGCCGGGCGGGACGGGGCTCGCTGGCAGCCTTTGTCGACCTTTATAGCCTCGGGGATCGAGTGTGGGGACGCAGAATGACTACATTAATCTTCGGTGTGTGTAGTTAGTCGTCCCATTCACCGTAAAGCTGTGTTCAGAATGTGTTTAAAATGAGGAGGGGTGTGATTATCCCGCACGTCTTCTACGTAGGGGCTGGGCCTTTTTAACTCTTTGGCAAGGGACTGCATATTTAACTCTGCTTCATCTGATTCATTCGTCTCATTATTACCTCAATTTTCTTTACCCTTTTATCAACTTTTGTTTTAAATTTCCATGCCTCATTTTCACTATCATTCCTGCTGTCTGCACATACATCATAGTTAATCTTAATCACGTTTATGGTAAACCCACACCATCCCACTCACGAGTCGTTCATCGTGGCTGACCTTCCCCTTCTGGCGTCCCTCCTCCACCTCCCCAGGACGTGGACGGTGAGAGGACGGAGCTGACGGAGGGAGACGTCACCATCCTGGCCACGGTCTCCCAGCTGCTCGGCCTCGAGGGAGACGACGTGCGCCTGGTGCTGCTCAACAGACAGATCAACGTGCGAGGCAACATCACAGAGATCCCGCTCAAACCGCACGAGGTACGACCGACGGATAGCCGGACGGCTCCCGAGCGTAATCGGGCCTGTTCAATGTGCATTGCTCAATATGTGCCAACTGCCGTCGTGCGTACGCACTGGTTGGCTTAAGGTTTTCTTGCGGCCGCGGACGAGCTAGTTGGAATGCTTTCTAAATGTCTGACATTGAAATTTTCAGCGAAACAGGGGCTGCAACTGCTGCCTTTTTGTGTCATTTCCGCGTGATCCCGTCAGGGGAATCTTCAATGAAATAATGCACACACACAGAAAAATGAGTTAGTGAACTGGCCGACCTTCCCCAACTCTGTATTTAGCTCTCGCTTCTCCCTTATTCCTGCGGCCTTTGTCACTAAAAAAGTTGAATAAATGAATAAAAATTTTAGTTATTCAGGTGACGGCCACAATTTCGCCAGTCCCTACGGGCTGTTGAAACTCGTTCTAGCCGCTCGCGGTGGCGTTTCTTATCTCCGTACTTCATTAGACTGACGGTCGGCGTGGAGCGGGCTGCGCCGTGTTTTCAGCCGCTATTTCTGTGCCGCCCCCGAAACATATGGTCCCGCTGGGTCGGTCCACATGTTTTTGCGCCGCTGGGATGCCGCCTTGCTTCTCATTTCCGTCAGCGCAATATCCTCCTTATTTTGTCAGTAAACCTCAGATAGTGGCAGACTTTGTCGACAAACCTAGGGTGGCACGGGACACAGAGAACACACGACCTGTGTGTCGCCAAGTGCGAGGACCAGTTGAGGAACAGATCCCGGTGTCACAAACAGAGCCTTAGCGGCGGTGTGCGAGCTCCGTCTCTGCAGACGGAACTAACCTGGTTACCAAGCGCTAAACCAACAGCTCGCCGGGCTAGTCCGAACGTAGTCACAACATGGGGACGACCGTAACAACACCCCGAGGCACGGTCGGGCCATTACTCTCTCAAAGCGACACAACAGAGCCGACTCTGCCCGGAAGTGAGGAGCAACCGCGCCCCTCTAGCCAGGGGGTGTTATTGTGATTAGCCGAAAGCGGAAGGGTTTGGCGGAGCGCAGACTGGTGCCAGCCGAGAGATGCTGGATAGATTTAGATAAATGAAGTGTGGGGGTTTTCATGTTGTCGTGTGTCTGACGTAAATGATGGTGGTTGTCTCATATTGTCATTCCCTTCCGCTTGTATTGGTGCAATAAGGTCAAGCAAGTTGTAACTGTTTTATTTTATTTTTCGGCATGAAGTATTTTCATGGCCTGCGTGAATTGGTGCGATAGGAATATGAAAATGAATTTGAAGTGGAAGCCTTCTCATTTAAGGTCATTGAGGCAGGTAGCATAATCGTGATCATGGTGTGTGCCTCGTCTATTGGTCAGCCCAGCCCACAAATATGCCTCTAGAACTGAATATCATCTTGCACACCTTTCGGATTGTACCCCGTTGACTCGTTCACCGTATCACCCCTTCACCCTGTGTGTGCTGTTTCAGGCCCGCGAGAACCGGCACGCCATGGCCAAGGCGCTCTACTCCCGGACGTTCGCGTGGCTGGTGAACCAGATCAACACGTGCACGAACCCCGGCCAGGACAGCGGCGCCTTCCTCGGCGTGCTAGACATCTTCGGCTTCGAGAACTTCGGGAAGAACTCGTTCGAGCAGCTCTGTATCAACTACACCAACGAGAAGCTGCACACCTTCTTCAACCACTACGTCTTCGCTCTGGAACAGGAAGCGGTAATTATTTTAGATATTTTATGTACCTAACCCATAGTCTTGTGTAGAGTAGCTGTTTCTTTTTCAATAACTGTCGATAAATCTTCCCGGTACAGGTGTATTGCTGCGTGCGTGTCTCTGCCTCTGTAGAATATTTGTTTCTAGAGCTGTCGATCGAATGCTATGTGTGCAATGTGTGGCAAATACAATGTCTGGCAAAACATCATGCTTGCCAGGCTTTCTATATAATTCCGTCGCCTGGATGCATAGCTGAAAAAACGTAAGGGCGGTGATATGAAGATTGAAGGGGCTTTTCGTTGTTAGCTACACAAAATGTGATGCGTGAGGTCTTAGCAAGACATTCTGTGAAGTGTTCTCTACAATGTCATCTTATCTCGCATTGCTTTCTCGGTTGAAGTCAAAACAACACTCGATGGGATTCTTGAGCACCTGTAACAGCCTTTCACGTAAAAACGCATATCATTTTCGGAGTAAGTTGCCGAGATGAATACGCTCTCTCTTTGGCATGTGATTTTTCTACTACAATGGTATCACGACTTCACCATATATCCTATATTCCTATGCCTATATATATTCCTATATTTTCCATATCCTATATCCTGAGTATATTCCTACATTATAGCATGCAGCTTAAATCACATGCAGTATATTCATCTTACAAGGGCTTTAGACATGGCCCGTCTGTCATGTGTATATCTTTTTCTGCCACCGTTTTCACTTCGTTATTACGTATGTAAGATTGGAACCATTTATATTACTGACACTTCACAGATCGTATACACATGAGCGACCATCCCGCTCAGCTGTGCGTCCTACATATACGCTTGTCGCTTACGTCAGCGATTTTTTTATCAGGCCACCGAAAATATCCAAACTGTCTCATATGATGGCAATCTCTCCTCGTCGGTACCACACACCACCCTAGAGGTCCATGATTATTTCCCCTGACGGCAATATCCCCCGGCCGTGTTAGCCCAAATGTCAGACCTCCATTCTGGCCGTGGTATCTCGGAGGTAGATTCGCCCTCTCCTACAGTTATGTAAACTAACACAGCCGCTGGGAGCCCGGCGTTGGTCCCACAGGCTGCAAACGGACCAACGTCTGCTCATAGAGCTCGCACGAGATGGATGTCTATTTTTACATGCTTGTTTGCGGGTCCTTTGAGTCGCGGGAATGTTTCTGCAATGCAATGTAGTGGTTGTTGAGTTCGATTGCTGGTGAGTTATCTTGGCCGCTTGTTGTTTATCGTTAAGTATGGAGAGGTATAGTACAACATAGTTCTCACTTCTCAGTAGACATCGGTGTAAACGCTATGTTCCAAAACACATCTTTCTGTTTTCAGTATCGGCAAGAGGAGATCCAGTTCGCGCACATCAAGTTCTCGGACAACTCTGAGTGCCTGGAGCTGATTGAAAAGCCGCCTCGCTGCATTCTCAAACTGCTCTCCGAGGAATGCCGAATGCCAAAGGTGAGTAAAACCCACGTCAATACCAGCTGCATAATATTCAAATCTCCAACATCACCACACAGCAGCCCACGCTCGCTCTCAACATTAATCCTCCGCCTGGTAACTGAATCTATGTAATACCTCCCGTAAAGCCATGTTTCGGGTTCCGGATGCGCGGCTATTAGACGCTCCATTTATTTGAACACTGCGCAGTGCGTTCAATTTGACAGTAGGCTCCCATCGGTCACTGCTGGCTCGCTCCGTGCCGGCGACCCGGGCTCAGTGACCTTTGACCTCTGAGTGCTCCGCTGCACCCGGGGCTTCAGCCGGCTGAGTGCAGATGCCACCCGCGCAGACGCACGGTAGCAGGACGTTATTTGGGTGGATGGTGATGTCTTTTATAGGCGTCACTGTCACTGAGTCAGTTTCAGACACGGCTGAGGAAGATCAATGGCTGCGTTAGTGGCCAAGCAACGATTGTTTGATTGGATGTGATGTTATTACCTTGTAAATGCTTCGCACAAGATGGCATTCACCGCAAGGGCAACCATGGCTTCAGACATGAACAATAACAGTCGTGACAGTTTGGAAAATGATATTTTCGACGTGAAAACGTGATGAGTTTTGGCTGAGATGACTTCATCGGATATCCATCTCAGCCTCAGCCTCCACCTTTTCTCCCCAATTTCCTCCCCGGTCGTCAATGTCTCACCGTCACGACCCGGTCTAACCCAGTCGCCGCTCGGTGGTTCTCGGCGCCTCGGTGCCCGGCGGCGGTCCGACGCTCTGAACTGAACCGAGCCACGCCCGTGTGGGCGGATCGACCGGTCCCCCGCCCCTCTGCCTCTCTCCCCCGCCCCTCTCTCCCTCTCGGAGAGCTCACCTCGGAAATGGGTGACGCCGCGCCCGTCGGCACTCCCGCCGGGGCGGGGTAAGGGGGGATCGAGCTGGGGTCGGTATCGTGGCGCTCCAGCCGGGTCGGCCGCACTGCCGAGTTTTACGCTTCACTGGACTCGTTTTTGGTCTGCGTTGGCTTGGCTGTTTATTTATTCATGTCATTTGGATGGAGGTTATCTCCTCGCTAAATAATTGGGTGATCTGAGTGATTGTAATGGGTTTTCTGAATTTATGTTCCAACTGTCATTATCATGAGTAGGTATTTATGCGGGTTTTAAATGCCGCCCATGATTCATAAGCTTTGTTCAGAGGGATATTAGATGATTTTGCAAGAACAGTTTTCATGCATTAGAAAATAAACATTTGTTTGGAATGGAGTATTCTTAGTTGTTGTCCAATGTTGTCTGTTGATGGGAGTACCATCTGACCATCCGCTCGACTCCCTGTTTCTCCTTCAGGGCTCTGACGAGACATACCTCTCTAAACTACACGTCGAGTTCGAGTCGCACCCGTACTACGTCAAAGGCGAGGACCGTCGCCGCTGGGAATCAGAGTTCAGCATCCGACACTACGCCGGCCACGTCACCTACACGATCGCCGGCTTCGTCGACAAGAACCGGGACGCTCAGCAGGATCTGTTCTTTGACTTCATGAGCCGGTCCAAGAACAAGTTTGTCGAGGAGCTGGCTCAGTTCCAGGTGAGATCGCGAGAGGCTTGGAGGAGAGCGGTGGATAAGATGTTGACAGAAAGACTCTATAGTTGAGTACCCGAATTGGTTATAGGACGCTGCTACTTCAAGGTATTGATTTAGTCAATTTACCCAAGTAATGAATTTTAACGTTTCAATTGAGCTCGTGCTCGACACAAATCGGTGTTAGTATTGAGCCACCTGAAACGGTTTTATCCTAATTGACCACCGTTATCTGGTTCCTATAATTAATCACGTCCCGCCTACATCTATTGACGGGCTCCATCCAAACGGTTGAACGTATCGATTGATCTGGTTTATAAATGTTGAGTAATTTAATTTCTTTGGAGGATCATTTACTGAGTCACCGAGGACGTCCTAGTCTATGATCGCGCTTTCGTTAGCCTTAGCGAGCCGCGGTCGGTCGGTGCTCTCTCTATTCTCTAACTTCTTCCTACCTCGCCAGGACCTGCTGAGCTGTATGTCCCGCACCGGCACCATGAGCAGCACCGTCTCCCGCGGCACCTCCAAGGGCAAGCCGACCGTCAGCGACGCCTTCAGGCAGCAGCTGCAGGCGCTGGTCGACCTCCTTCAGATGAGCAATCCTTGGTGAGCTGCCTCCTCCAGTTGAATACGAGCAATCCTTGTCAAAGGCCATTTATTGTCAGAAGAAAAAGTAAAAACATTCCACGCGCACGCGACTGCAGCCTGGTCCCGCAGATGCGGCTACCTGCTGCGCTCGTCACCTAAATAGCAGCGAGCCGGGCCGATTTAGATGATGTTTTCCCCCGATCCAGTACCTGTTTATCTCATCTGGCCTGGGGCGGTGCCAGCGGACGGTAAAGTCGTTAGGGCCTGCCCTGGTGCGAAGGCAAAACATCATTTATGCTCATAAGTGTGCCGCTGTCATCGGCTTGTTTTCGAGAGGCACGAGGCAGCCGAAGTTTATGAGGAATTCCGTATGGTTCAGATGTTGTGATGATGCGTTTATGGATTCGTCTAAAGATTTCCTTTTCTATGAAAGTTACGCTCATTCATGCCAAGTTTCTCGCTTTCACAGTGTCTGCGTGTTGGTCGCTTAACCTAGCAGTTAGCACACATCCAAAGTCTCTCAGCTCGCTCAAGTTGAGTTCGTTAACCGTCTCCTTCCTCTCAGGTACGTGCGGTGCATCAAGCCAAACAGCAAGAAGCAATCGCGCTGCTACGACGCGCCACTGGTGCTCGACCAGCTCAAGTACCTGGGCATGCTGGATATCATCAAGATCCGCAAGCAGGGTTTCCCCATCCACCTGCCGCATCCTGAGTTCTGCCAGCGGTACCAGTGTCTGACGGGGCGGCGATGGAGGCAGGCGGCCGCCGCCGAGGGATGCAGGTACGGCACGCGGCAGCCGGGGCCGTGGCGACGGTTGTGTGCTTGAGGACGAACTGTCGATGGTGTTGATTATATTTGTCTGCATATGTACATTGATGAGGCTGAGGTGTTTTAAGAGCTTCAAGCTGAGTCATATTCTTGACCAGATATTGTGTAACTTCTACAGTAGGCAGCTCGGATCCTCACTGAAAGCGCTGGAGGCATTTCACAATTTTTCTTCTTCTTAAGCATCATCTATATCCTCGCAACCCATCATGGCGTGTACTTTTCTCCCAGCTCCTGTAATCTATGTCGCTTTACCCATCACCCCTCTGACCCCAGTGTCTGCCTCCAACAGGCACATCATGAAGCAGCACGGCCTGCCGGAGCGCGAGTGGCAGATGGGAAAGACCAAGATCTTCCTGCGCCACTGCGTACATGAGCCGCTGGAGGACAAACGGACGGCTCTTGTGCACAAGTCGGCCGTGCGCATACAGAAAATATACAGAGGCTACGTACGCAGAAAAGGTACGGACAGAGGTGCCGTGTTGCAGCGTAACTATGGCCGTTACTGACAGCGCCCATATCTTATGATTTTTAACAAACAGGCAGTTACTCGCTACTTGTTCTGCAGCGGGTGCGGTTTATGCTAGAATGTAACCTAGCCTTGTGTTGTTTCTGCCTGAGGCATATATGAGTCTCAGGACTGACCTATAACACGCACTCTCCTGTCTTTCTTTCACAGCGTACCGGGAGAAGCTGGAGGCGGTCAAATGTCTGCAGCGCCACTACCGGGCCAAGCGGCAGAGGCTGCTGTACCTGCGGCAGCGACGAGCTGTCATCGTGCTGCAGAAGCACCTGCGCGGCATGTTCGCTAGAGAGGTACGGGTGGTGGGAATGGTTGATAGATTAAAAGCATGAGCGAGGTCAGCATTGGGGGAGGGAAGAGAGGTTTGCCAGAGAATATGTGCGCACGTAGGGACATGAGTGATGGAGAGGTATACGGGAATGATTGCTTAAGTTACGGTAGGTGACCCTGGCACGGTATAGCGGATAATATTTATTGTTTTTTCGAGACGGAAGAATCATATTTCGTGTTACCGTGTAGCATTTGGCACGCCCTCCTTCCAACATTACAAGTTGTTATGTCGCTTTCAGGTGGCCACCGCTCTGCGTGACATGAAGGCCATGGAAGAGGAGCGGCAGAGGAGAGAGAAACTCGAAGAGGAGAAGAGGAAAGAGGAGGAGCGGCGACGGGAGCTGGAGGAGGAGGAACGGAGGCGACTCGAGGCGGAGGAACAGTATGTAGTCTGCAGCTGAATGGCTTACAAATGCGAGTCAGCGCGACGTGTACTGGCAATCGGCGTCGAAAAAAGAGCAGCATCGCTACGCGCCATTGCTTTGCCTTTCTATCCAAACAGTAATGCTGACATGTTATTCCCTGTCATGCGTCATTATCAAGTTATCAATATTTTCACTTTTTCATGAAAGAGTAATTTTATACCATGATTTTCCTAACAAACTTGGAATCTCTTACAATGTTTATACCAATTCACCGACGAAGCCGGAGAGGAGCCAGAGCTGCTTTGCTTTGCGGTTCACCCTGCTGCCGAGAGCCCACCTGGTTCAGGCGCCTGAGGCCCCTCCCCCCCCCCCCCCCTAGTGACCCTCTCATGAGTGGACAACCCTTGAAGCCTCGCCCCCTTGTCCTCGGTGAGACTCCGAGGGTTTCGCCGCATCTGATGGCTATGCGCTTTTGATGCCAGCGTGCTTGAGATGCCAAGTTGCTCTCGTTTGGCTTGTGATGCTTGCGTCTGGTTGACCGATGGCTTTTACTTTCCACCAGGCCTCTTCCCCCGCCGGAACCGCAGCAGAACGGAAAGTAAGTCGGACAGGATGAAGCCAGGGTTACTGTTGTCTTTTGTAGATGCAAATATATATTGTGTCATGGTTCGAATAGCATCTGATGATAATAATTGTCTTATAGAAACCACAGCTATTTGATACCCATCTGATTGGCATTATTGGCGTGTCAACTCCTCATTTTCTGCAGATGCTGCCTCATCCTAGCTTTATTCCCATTGATTATCCCCTGACACTTTCTAGTTACTGAATGAAAGTGGTATTTAACTGCAATAGCTACAGATCGTATTTGATCGACACTTAAGTCTCCTCTATCTGACTGGGTCATCCGTCACTGTATTGCTGCTACCCAATGTTGATTGTTCTTCCACTGTTCCACTTCCTTTGTTGTGTGACATTAGTAAGTTGTCTCCGCACCACATTCAATGCCACCGTCCTGACCGCTGCCATCGTGTTCGGCAGGCTGATGCAGGAGGAGATTGACGAGATGACTGAGATCGCCGACCAGCTCAACATGAAGCTGGCGGCCGGCGACGCCGAGCGACCGGCCGGCGGTCGCGCCAAGTCCTCCGTCTCTGTCGACCTGGACAACCTGTTCTCGTTCCTCAGTGACATGAACTCGGGACAGAGCAGTGTGGTCAACGAGATCCACCAGAACCTCGAGGAGCTCGAGCTGACCGTGCTGGAGGAGGTGAGCATGGTCGCTAGCGGGACCTGGCTGGTGCTAGGTTTGGTTGCACCATAGAAGTTTGTATAGTAGTGACCACAGGACGAGGATGCATAAATTAAAGGTACTAAAAACTACGTGTTGTTTTGCCGCGGTACAATGACCGAGATGATCAAGCATCAGATAACTTGCGACCAACGTTTGTTTGATATCCTCGTCATACCTTCTTGAGTCTGACCGATCGTCTGTTGCAGATGGACGAGCTGACGGGCCGCCGGGCCGCGTCCGGCGGACCCTCGCGCGGCGCGCCCACCCCGCCTCTGCCGCCACCGAGTCCGATGGCCGAGGACACGGGTGAGGAGCCCACGTCGCTCCCGCCGCCGCCGCCTCCTGCCGACCTCCCTCCTCCTCCACCGGAGCAGGAGTCGGAGCTGCGTGACGGCGAGCCGGGCCCCGAGCTGATCCTTCCGCCTCCCGGCGAGGAGCTGTACGGCCGGCGCAGCGCCGCGCCGCAGCCGCCGCCCATCGAGCGCATTCCCAAAGAGCCCATCTACGAGAGTATCCTCGTCAACAACAAGAAGGCGCCGAGCGACCCGGAGCCGGCGCCCCCGGCCATCCCGTCAGTGCCGCCGCCGGGCCCGCCGCCCGGCGCGCCGGCTCACCAGGGCGTGGAGAAGGTGCAGCGGGCGAGCCGGCACCGCCTGCGCAGCGGCTCGCCGGCCGGACGGGCCCGGCTGGCCAGCGGTCAGACGCCGCTCAGCCCCAACCGCAGCCGAAATAACAGCACCACCAACAGCCGGCGCGCGTCGGTGAGTGGTAACGACGCGCACATAGGTGGGGTACAGTAGAAGCATGGGCTGGTGACTGTGGGAGTTTTTATTATCTGTCTAGCTGCTGCTGTTTTGTGTACAGTTTTATCGTTGCATTCGCTCCAATTATTTTTGCGTTTTGTTCTCGAAAGAAGCAGATTCGTCTTCCAATATTCTCACTTTCCGCTGTATGCCGATCTGGGACCTTGCCCTTTTCTTATTGCACTCGACTTCATTTTCCTGACTTCTTCGCATCTCTTTTCGCCTCAGATCTCTCAGGAGGAAGACGAGCGGGACCAGCGGCGCCGGCAGCGGGTCGAGCGTAAACTCCAGGAGCTGCAGGAGCTCGAGCGGCAGGGCGACGCCAAGCCGGAACAGCAGGAGCACTTTGATATGATCGAGTTCGCCGAGACGTACTTCAACATGCACGAGAGGGTGCCCGAGGGTAAGAGAGCGGGATACGGGAACTATCAGTGAGAAGCATGCGTGATTAAGTGGTGGTTGCCTGCGTATTGTGTTGTGAACTGACTGGATGTTGGATTGCGAACAATGGCAGGATATTTGAATTAAGAAGGGCCGGGGGCTTGAGGCTACAACTCTCGTCGATAATTATATGCTCAGGGTTTTCTGTTCAAGAAAACTAATGAGTTTGACTTACACATTCATGTGCACACCATCACATGAATTGGATTACTTTCTACTGTACGATATTGCTACTATGGATGCATTACGTCTTCCTGCTTTCCCGTTTGATCAACCGCTTATATGACACTTTACTTCATCCCCTTCCACCCAGGCGCCATCATCTCCACACTGAGCCGGCGCGGCCGTGGCTGTGTGGACTACCTGCCAAAGTACGAGATGATAACGTACACAAAGGTGCCGTGCATCCCCACCTCGCACGTGCACATGTACGACCCGGACGACGTGGACATCGCCTGTGCCATCTTCAAGGTAAGCTAGGCCGTCCAGTCGCCAGTCTAAGCTAGTTGTAATTGTCCGGCGGAACGGCGGGGGGGGGGGGTGAAGTGGCAGTACGGTGCGCTTGGTAACGGGAGATGGAACTTTGACATACCTACTTTGCAATGACTTTGCTATGACTGGGAACACATTGTATTGGGGGACTTGTCTGCTGGGATTTTATGACGAGAACTTGATTAGCGGATCGTAACTGAACTGTGTAATATGTTGTGTAAAAGGCGTTCCCATTTTCTTCCTATGACTATGTTTGTTTGGTTGTCTCACAGGACCTGCAGCAGTACATCAAGGGTGACCTGAAGCCAGAAGCTGAGATCAAAATCATCCAGACTATTGTTCAGCATGGCATTGAAAGGGAAGAGCTCAGGAACGAAATCTACGTACAGGTAATTGAAATAAATGCCTACCGATAAAACGTGAACGATATCTATGCAAGTTTGTGTGCCAGATGCCTTGTCCAGTAGCATGCCGTATGTTCCATTCCCATGATCATGATGATTCAGATTATGCTTGCTTGGCTGCCACACGGCTGGTCTCAGTTATTATTGATCAAACCTGGTATGCCAAATGCCAATACTTGTTCAACGATCGACGGCTATTTCCCACTATTAGCTACCCTAGTGGCCTCTCCGGAAACTTCAGGTGACCTCATCCCCTTCGAATCGACCAGTGAATATCGTCCCAGCAGGTCTGACCCCGGCTCTTGTTACAGTGTATCCGTCAGATCACTAACAACGCGGTCGTTGATCACGCGCCTGTGGTTACGGCTCCGCCCCAGTCTTAGTACTGAGCTCCCCTCCTCTTTTTGCAGTGTATCCGTCAGATCACCAACAACCCGGTCCAGGAGTCTCTGGACAGGGTGTGGCTGCTGCTGTCCCTCTGTGTCGTCTCATTCCCGCCCGGGAAAATACTGTTCAAGGTACGTTCCCACGTGTGAGGACCTACTTCAGCATTCATTGGTAGTTCAAAATATTGATTTAAATTGCTGACTTGCAGCAGATGATGGAAACTGTAATGTGATTATACTTTCGATGCTCATTTTGTGCTGCATTTCATTACAATCATGTCTGCCTACTGCCTGATTTAAGCGTATGAATTACTCGAGGTTTCGTGTCTAGCGCATGCTTCCGATTTGTCTTATCTGATAATTGTAACTGACGACCGACTTTGTCTTCGTTCCCCAGTACTTTGTGAGTTTCCTGCGCAAATCGCAGTACTCTTCAGACAGCCGGGCGCTCCAGTACGTGCAGTGGTGTCTTGACAACTGCAAACACTCGCACGTCACCTGCAGAAAGAACCCGCCCAGCACTGTCGAGATCACGGTTAGTGACGAGTCCCGCGATGCCAAACATCGCTCAGTAGTTCCACCTTGTTATCGAAAAGAACCTCTGTATCAATCTGCAGCCGGTCTTGGTGCATGTTTGGATTCCACAAGTACTTATTTGCAGTTGCGAATTAATTCATGTATTCTTTCATTCTGCGTTTATTGAATTGAAAGTCATTCTTTTCCGTTCATCTACACATGCGATCATTGTATCGGTAATCAATCCATCGGTGGTTTGATATTCGCCTGTAAATTGTGTCTTCATCCGCTGACCGTTTGTCACTGTTCCTCCCCTCAGGCGATGAAGCGTCTGGGCACCATCGTGTGTCGCTTCTTCTTCATGGACGGCATGACGAAGGCGGTGGACGTGCACCCGATGGACACAGCCGCCGACGCCATGTCCAAGATCGCAGACAGGTTCGTCAGCTGAGGCTGCGGGGATTGTGTAATGTTACAGTAGGTACGGTGTATTAACTCAGTTCGGGGCGTTTGGTCATGATGGATCAGTGTAGATTGTACATTCGGTATATTGGGTGTCAGTTTATTTTATGGGCTAACTTTGTCTATTTTTCGGGTTTTTCGTCTATGCTCGTCTATTTCATCTACTTATTCGTAGTTCCCCACCCTGACCAAGCACTCCATGTTCTCTCATTTGGCTATTTATATCGCTTGGATGCCGATTTGTGCCTTCCGATATGTCCTAGTCTGTTATTTAGTAAAACAATCCTTTCACACTTGTGTGACATTCTGTGTCTGGCTGCAGGATCGGCCTGTGGAACCTGGAGGGCTGGGCCGTGTTCCAAGCCACCGCCGAGGGCGAGCATCACGTCAAGTCACACGAGTACCTCTATGACGTTATCGCCTCCTGGGAAATGTGAGTCACGCGCTGAGAATGGGCTGGCACGTATGGCGATTGAGCTTTTGACGATTGGAGTGTAGTGAACTCACATAGAAAGATATATTCGTTTGTTGTGAAAATGTTCGATCACTGCTTTTTCAAGATCTTGCGATGTAATTTGTCATAGGTTCTGGATTTCACGAAACGCCCCAATTACCTCGCCTAACTAACGGTCCTCCCCATTGGCCCGTCCCCACCTCTGACCCTCCCCTGTACCGCACACTGATCTTGCCCTGACCCTCCCCTCTGACCTATCCCACCCCACCTCCATCAGTGAGAAGCAGCAGCGCTCGACGCGCGCCGCCGAGTCCCCCGCCAGCTCTCCGATGCTGCGGCGACAGTCTGCCGTCGGAGTCGGCGCCGGTGAGAACCGGTTCATCTTCAAGAAGCGGCTCTTCAAGGCCACCAGGGAGATCCCGAGCGACCCGGTGGAGGTGCACATGCTCTACTCGCAGGCTGTCTATTCGGTAGTACAGGTGAGTGAGGTATTTGAACGGGTTGGCGAGACTCGTGGCTGGTGAAATTAAAGAGAAGGCGCTGTTCGGCTGTATGTAAAGGGCGATGCGACGTAGGATTTATAGGTGGATTATAAGATTGTTGTTTTCTTTGATATTTAATCGAGGTTTTCGGTTTTCTTTCCACATGTGTTTTAGTACATGTGACCATCCGCCGCGCCCTCTGTTTTCCTTTGCTAGTCGCTAGACAGCCCTGTCCACAGAGTGAGCCTCCCTGTGAGTGAGGATGTGACGCTGTCTCCTACTCACCTCCCTCCGTCCTAAGCTTCCTCGCCCGCTCTGTCCACAGAGTGACAGTCTCCCAGTTAGTGAGAAGGTGACGCTGACTTTCCCCGCCCGTCATCCTCTGTCCTGATTCGCCTTCGCCCTGACCGTCGCCTCATTGTCCCTACAGAGCGAAAATCTCCCAGTGAGTGAGAAGGTGGCGCTATCTCCTTCTGTTCTAACCTCCCCTACCCTGTCCCACAGAGTGACAACCTCCCAGTGAGTGAGAAGGTGGCGCTGTCTCCCTCCGTTCTAACCTCCCCTACCCTGTCCCTGCAGAGTGACAATCTCCCAGTGAGTGAGAAGGTGGCGCTGTCTCCCTCCGTTCTAACCTCCCCTACCCTGTCCCTGCAGAGTGACAACCTCCCAGTGAGTGAGAAGGTGGCGCTGTCTCCCTGTTCTAACCTCCCCTACCCTGTCCCTGCAGAGTGACAACCTCCCAGTGAGTGAGAAGGTGGCGCTGTCTCCCTCCGTTCTAACCTCCCCTACCCTGTCCCTGCAGAGTGACAACCTCCCAGTGAGTGAGAAGGTGGCGCTGTCTCCCTGTTCTAACCTCCCCTACCCTGTCCCTGCAGAGTGACAATCTCCCAGTGAGTGAGAAGGTGGCGCTGTCTCCCTCCGTTCTAACCTCCCCTACCCTGTCCCTGCAGAGTGACAACCTCCCAATGAGTGAGAAGGTGGCGCTGTCTCCCTCCGTTCTAACCTCCCCTACCCTGTCCCACAGAGTGACAACCTCCCAGTGAGTGAGAAAGTGGCACTGCAGCTGGCGGGCCTGCAGGCTCAGGTGCTCCTCGGGGACCCCAAGGACAAGTACGATCACTACTCAGACGTGGGCACGTTCCTGTCTCAGCGAATCGCCTCCACTAAACGGCGACCAGACTGGGTAAGATGGAAGGGAGGGGCGTGGTAAGGGAGGGAGGGAGGAAGGAAAGGGAATAGAAGGAACAAAGGGAGATGTTGATAAATGTAAGGAGACCGAAAAAGATAGGGAGGAGGAAAGGAAGAAGAAGGAGACTTTGGGTTACATGGTGGGCCAACGCGCGAAGAGATTCGTTGCGGGCATTTTGTTGAATACAGAACATAATGGCCTTGGTTCTTCGAACATTGTTTTCTTATTACAGCTGGCACGCTTTCATCACGTTGACATGACAATTATCTCTGATACTGCTGTGGCCTATGTCGTTAGCAGCTGTGGCCTGTGTCGTTGTTTTGCGACGTCCTTCATCTGACCACGTCTCTGCGTGCCCTCAGATCCCGATAATCGCCCACGCGCACCACCAGTACGGCGCCGGAAAGTCAGAGCTGGTGGCCAAAATCTGGTACCTCTCCTGCGTGATGCAGTACCCTGTCTGGGGCACCACCCAGTTCCCGGTCAAGTACAAAGGATACTGGCCGTACGGTAAGGAGGGAGTCCTCAGGGCTGGGGCGGGAGCAGTGAGCTGATCTCAGTTCAATGCGATAAGAATGTGGTGTAGCCGCCAAAGACGTAGCACGAGTATTATATATTGTCAAGGAGTTTCTGTGATTTAGCATCCAAGCTACGTTTTTCATTAGCAATAAGTTAGACTAGATTCGCCGGCAGCCCGGCAGTTACCGTGGAAACTCCGGTCGCGAACGAAGATGTTTTGTCATTCAGTAGCTGGTGTATCATAAGCCAAATGCAAAGGTCACACATTCTGAGCTAAACCGTCTACTTTAGTAGCTGTGGGTCTGTCCATGTATTGCTTCATTAAGTTCTGACCCATCCACCTCACCGGACCTACCGTTCGCAGGGAGCAACCTCAACATGGGCATCAACTGCGAGGGCATCCTGCTGATCCGGCCCGACGACAAGTATGTGATCGTCGAGTTTCCGTACGGCGACGTCGAGTCGATCCTGCTGGACCCCTCGGACGACTTCATCACCATCAACCTGCACCGCAACCACGACGCCCAGCGTGTGTTCGTGTTTGAGGCCAAGTGGCGAGACGAGATGGGCGCCCTGATTGCCAGCTACTCGCCCGAACACGCCACCTGGATCAGAGAGGTGGACAACATCAGTCGACGGGTCAGTACTGGGGTATCAACAGACGTTCGGTACCGGGGGGTAGAGGTGGGCAACATTAGTCGCAGGGTCAGTACTGGGGTATCAACAGACGGGTCAGTACTGGGATATCAACAGACGGTCGGTGCTCAGGGGATAGAGGTGGACAACATCAGTCGACGGGTCAGTAGGTACTGGGGATAAAGGTGGGCAAACATCAGCCGACTAAGTACTCGGGACTGGGATATCAACCTTCGTTTCAATTCTATCAAACCAACAGTCGAACGATCAAACATCAACATATAAATTGCAAGCTTATGCACTATCCTACGGCCACCCCCATTCTAACACCTGGTGCGACCCACTGCACTAGTTTTGCGACTGAGTGGGTGGACTGACGACTTTCCCCACCGCTGTGTGGACAGATTCAGCACATAACCAACGATGATCGGATGCGACTCCACTACAACGTGGTTCAGTGCCGTCGGAACATAGTGGATGCCGACATGGTGCGAAAACCCGTGGATCCGACGAGCTCCAACTTCTTCAAAAACACACTGAGAAGGTGAGTGGAAGAGGGAGGGAGAGAAAAGGTCAGGACAACCATCCCAGGCTGCTGCAGCATTGCCGTCGGACTCTGTGTCATACACGTAATGGTCTGGGCTCCATCTTCCATCCGACTCTATCTCTCCCCCCGTGTATGCCGCAGGTTCAACAAGGCCAAGCTGGAGAAACTGCGACAGACAGCGCCGGCCGGCAGCGCCGCCGACGGCACCGACTCCTACAAGGGCTTCGACCGAGCCTTCTGGGGCTTCTGCAGGCAGCCCATCACCCAGAGTCTGACCAGGATCACCGAGCCGGAGACGGAGGAGACGGCCGTGCAGATCTTCCAGGCGGTGCTCATGTTCTCGGGCCTGCTGCACAGCGGTGAGTGGCGGCCTGGGGAGGTCAGGGACCTGAGGAGGCCGGTCAGTGACCTTGGCAGGTCAGTCAGTGACCCGGGGATGTCAGTCAGTGGCCTTGGCAGGTCAGTCAGTGACCCGGGGAGGCCGGTCAGTGATCCAGGATACTGGTCAGGTACCCGAGCCGGCAGATAAAAACATCAATTGGATTGTGATTCAACTAAATTACAAGTTATACAATCATAATTCATCAACGGGAAGTTTTCAGTCGTTCTCTGTTTCGAGTTTTCTGGCTCGTCCTATGTGGGTTGACTGGTAAGCTCGACGTGATCTGCCTGAGCACTGCCATCGGAAAATTGGTATCAAAATAAAAGATATCAGCTCGCAAAATATTGAATACAAAACATTAGCCGCAGTGTACCAAATTTCCAAAGTATTGAAACACAAAATTCAAAACGCTTGAATATCGAATGTCAAAATATCGAACAAAATAACAACTACCAATACCAATCTACCAGCTACCAAGCTACCAATAACCACGGTGACTATAAATAGTAAATACCAATAACAAGCTATAACAAGCTACCGATTAACAAGCTTCAAGCTGTATATCCATCTTCATAACCAGCACATATACCATCATCAGCTTCATCAGCAGTGTTCAGCTGAAGTCCTTTTGGAGGCGATTTTAAACTTATTAATCCGGCTAAAGTAGTATAAAGACAGTCTGTTTAAGCGCCGCTATAATCGGACGTTGACAATCAATTATTTGTTGCCCCAAATTTTACCAATGAAAATACATTTAAATTAAATGTGTATCAGTTTAGACAACGTGCCGATTTGTTGAGGTTTTTTAGATGCTATTTTGAGCTGCCCGCTGTCAGTCAGAGTCGATCCCTGGAGACGCCTACTCATGGCAAAAGGTCGCGTCAGCTTTGAAAACCGTCAATGCTAACACATTTTCATGCCATCATGCCGTGTTCTCCATGCCCTTCGCCCACGTAAACTTCAGCCAGTTGGCAACATTCGCGCACTCCTGACAGACGCGACTGACCATTGTCAAATTAAAACACGGAAGAACTTTTACCTTATATGCTGACTAACGTGTATCATATGGTTTTATGTGCTTCAAATTAATCATTCAAGAACCTATACCTAACCGTAATCTGATATGATTTAAAACATTAAATGAGTATAACATATTGCAGTATCGAAGCGTTCTTATGTGTATATTATTAAAGTACATGCATGAATAATTTTGCAAGGATTTTTGTTTTTTTGTGGGGATTTTTTGCAATTACTTTTTGTCTAATCGGTGGAACACAACACCACTGACGGACGCCACTGGGGCGGATTATTGTCGTCGTTACCCCTCACACTGGGAGCCCATATCCAGACCTGGCACTGTATTCGGAGTCGGCGTACAGAGTAATAAATATATCTTATGTCCATGACAAACCACAATTACTGTTGGAAGACTTTTGTGGATGATTTAATCCTCTTTTGTGACATGGTTAAATCTAACGTATCGTCCTTTGCCATTGCTGTTTAAATAAAATATGACACCCGAGAATAAAATTAAAAGCAAATAAGAAGAGAAAGTCCTGGACAGCAAACAAAAATGATAACAAATGTTCCTTTTTTAAGGAAGGCGATGCGATTATGTTAATTGTGTCTCAAATTTACAAGCTGGTGACCCACAGAGTTATCTATATATAGAGGTCTGTGGGTAACCGTAAAATCATGTACAGGTCTCGTGGGTTTTAGCGGTAGGTTTTGCACCTAGAAAACTTAGTGTACTTCAGGCTATATCTTCGTCGTCTTAAGCTTTTAAGGGTTGAAGATGCGATCGACTTGTTGGGTAACAAGCCGGCCATGATCGTGTAAGTGCAAGTGCAAGTGCAAAACCTACCGCTTAAGCTCGCGAGAGCCGTACATACCTACCTAGTACCTATTGTGCGACCGTTATTTCATCCGAAGGTATAGGTAAGGTTGTTGTAGATTCTCTTTGCTGTAGTTGAACATTTGTTTATCTAAAATCAATTCCTTTAGTGCGTCTGGTATCAGATGACTATCAGCACTTTCATTTCTGTCGAGCTCCATCTCAGTTTGGGATGGAGTGGCGACAATTTAGGTCATTCGATGCGCTCCCCTCTCCACACCCCCTCTCCACACACCCCTCTCCCCACCCCCTCTCCACGCCCCCTCTCCACACCCCTCTCCACACCCCCTCTCCACCCCCCTCTCCACACACCGCTCTCCCATCCCCTCTCTCCACCCCTACCCCCTCTCCACACCCCCTCTCCACACCTCAACCGCTCTTCACACCCCACAGCCACTCTCCACAACCCCCCCTCCCTCCCTCTCCACCCCCGCCTCCCGCTGACCTGGTCATACTCGGAAAGGCATTGAGTCTGTTGATAACACCGCCGGCGTCAGACAAATGTCAGTGTCACTGTCAGCTCCGATTAACTGTCATGGTCTGTCTGACACGTTGGCGACGCGGTGGGGATAGAGAGCCCTATAAAAACAGCAGGTCCGTGGGAGGTAGGGCGCAGTACCGGCCACACTGGGTCTCGACTCGACCCGTTTTGAGGTCTGACTCTCAAAACGAGTTCTGACTCGCAGTCTGGCCTCTTCTTCCGAGTCTTCCCAAGACAATACGCCTAGTCCTCTTGGTACAGTCCGTGCAGCTCACTGGTCACCATTCGGCCTTATCAGTACGGTCTCGGCCGAGCTTTTTATTCCTGCCGGCTTACTGTGCGCCTGCCATGCTCGCTGTCGTCCTGCTACTGCTAGTCGCGGGCGGTGCACTGTGTGCGCCGGCCCCCGGCGAGTCTTACCCCACCGTCCCTCCGACCGTCCCGCCAACTAAACCACCGAAGAAGGACATCGCCAAGACTAACGCGTACACTGGCGGTGGGGTGAAGACCACTGGCGACTCCTCGAGTAAGCTGAAAGGTGACGGATTTTCCCTTGCCTCGACTGGAGGAAGCCTGGCTCTCAACACGGTAGATGTCAGGGTGGAATCCCAGCGAGACGGTGGCGGCGGGGGTGCTGTGAACTCCAATTCTCTGGCGAAGAACAACTGTCAGCCGGACTTCAAGAAAGGCGTGAGCGTTACTGGGCAGGAGGGCAAGAGCGGCAGTATCGGCGAGGCCACTACGTCGACATTCGCAGGCGGTTTTGCGAACACTAGGTGCAATGAGACTAGGACGAGCGCTCAGGGGCAGACCAAAACCGGCACCTCTGACTTCGGTCAGGCCGGCTCCGAATCGCTTAACAAGGCCTCGTCAAAAACGGTAAAGCTGCCTGAGGGCATCAGCGCTGTCTCCAGCACCAAATCACGCATTGAAGGCGAGTCTGTAGGCAACAGTTCTACCCTTGCCCTTGGTGATAACTCTGCCGAAGGGGGAGGAACCGGTGCCAAGACTGTCTCCACATCCGGTAATCAAGGTTCAACCGATGGCGACGGACAGGTCAAGTCCGTCCAGGGCTCCGCTGCCACTGCGACGCTGGCTCGGGTTGCTGAGACCCTTGGTGCCGAGAGTTCCACCGGCACCATCGGCGCAGCAAGGAGTGCCGGCGACAAGTCATCCATCACTGGCAATGCCGCAGCTACAGGGGAAGCCAACGAAGGGGGTGATGTTAGGGCCAACACGAAGTCAAATCAAGAGACTAAAACGGATGGTGACGGCGCCTCCGTCACGGACACAAAGAGCCGGGCCGCCACGTTGCGGGTTGCCTTCACTGATGATCTAACGGGCGCCAAGAAGGAGATAGGGAAGAGCGCTGGCTCTTCCGCGGCTGAATCAGAGAGTGTCGGGTCTGCAAGTGCAAAGCTTGACACAAGTTCTGATATTGGATTCTCACTCGACGGGGGCTTCGGTACTGGTGGCACAAGTATTGAAGGCGAAACCAGGAATGGCACCCTGGTGGGCAGCCTGAGGACCAGCTTCGACTCCAAAATCGCAAGCGTGCCCACGCGGCTGAAGAAGCCCAAGTGGCCATGTGAGAAACCCAGCGCACCTCCCCATGGCTGGCTGGACGATTGGCCAATCACGCCGAACCCCGTCTGGCCGTGTGAGCTTCCGCTGAGTCCCATAGATCCCTTCAAGCCGAAAGCGTCCAAGTCGAAGGATATGCACGGCTTCTAGGCGTTCTGTTCCGTGAGGCGCTGGAATCAATGATGAGATCCGACGGCCCCAGCATGACGCCTTTCCCTGTCTGATTGCTTGCGACGAGAAGACAGACTACAAGTCGAATTGATTTGAAAAGAAGAACGCGAGACTACAGTTTGGCCTAATGTTATACTTTACTGTCTGTTGATTACGCACGTTGGATGTATCACTGAAAAATATTGAAATATGATTTTCGTTTAATAAATGTCTCGCGTCTGTCAGAGAAATAAAGCTGAAGTTGCTGCGATTCACTTACCCCCATTGTTAAAGAGGTGACGTTGAAATCATAAAGAAGCTGTGCTGAACACCTACACGACCTTGTGTCTAGGTTTGAACCAGTAATGTCCTTGTCTCATCTAAAGGGGTTTCAGCAGGGATGAGAAATGTGATTTTTTAATCCATGCTATTGCTACCCAGTCAGCAAATTTGGTATGTGCCGTAGCTGGTTTTACTCTTATCTGGCTAGCTCCGTCATTTGCTCCGGCTAAAGTACGGGCAAGTCTGGGGCTCTACTGAAGCTAACACACGATCCCGGAGCTCGCCCGCACCACAGCCGGACTTATGTATGCCCCATCAGCCGTACCGTACCTCATCCGTACTTCAGCCACAGTAAGCCAGAGAAGCTACGAGGCAGCCGGACCTCTAGAATAGAGCCGTATCGGCTAAAGTATATCGTACCGTATTGTAGCTAAATTAGTGACCAACAGCTATTATTTAGGGTTAAGTGGTATAAGAGTGCGCACTTAGTGGATTTCTTGCTCTCATTCGCTTAATATTTGAGGGAAAGAAATCGCAAATATGGAATATTAAAGTCCATTGACTTAAGGCCGCCCCACACTGGACC